CCTGGAGGTTAGTACAACTACTGCTGGTTGCGGTTGTGATTACCGGGTTTCCCGAAAGACCGGTCTGTGGAAAGAGAGTGCCACTTTTGCCGGATGATGAAGTGGAAGTGAGATTTGAGGAGACTGCAGTACTGGCGGTGGGCAGAAGTGAGGCGGAGACTCCTGTACCGGTGCTGAGGGTGGCGGAGCCGAAGGGAACTGATGAAAGGGCTGTGGTTGTGGGGAGCAGAAGGGGGCCCGCCGGGCTCGAAGCACTCAGGGTTGTAGTGGCTCCGATACACCCACTTCCACTGCTGCTCACGTTGGGCCCGACCGAGGCCAGAGCCGCGCCGAGGCCACGTGTCAGCCGACCCGCCGCCGAGATCGCGAATGTTGTCGTCGACCCGCCAAAAGGGATGGAGGCAAAGCCACCACTCGAACTGGGGCTGCTGTTGCTGTTGCCGGTGTTTGCTCCCAGGCTCGTACTGGCTCCACTGGCGTTCCCCAAAGGGCTTGTTGCCGAGGTCGTGTGCCGATTGCCCAGGCATTGTCGAACCACCGAATGAAACAACTCCTCGACCAATTTAAAGCTCTCTGAGACGGTGATCTCGAACAGGCAGGTCTGGAATTCCTCAGCGAGTTTTTCGATTTCACCTCTTTGTACCAGTCTGACAAAAGTATTGACATAAACATGATAGATAACATTATATGAAGAACAGCTGGACTCCGAAGAATCCTTAAGTGATTTGCTTTGGCATAATTTTTTATTTCGAATAAAAAGTTGGATAGGACAAATTCGTGAATTGGTCTCACCAGAAGCCGATTGGATTGTGCGAAAAAGTTCTCGAATTTCCGTCCTATTCATTTGTTTCGCAGAACGAGGAGTAAAGGACTTCTTCCTACAATCCAACCATCTCTACTGCACGGCAATCCTTCAGTATACGGTAATACCAAGCTACAATTTTCTTCTGCCGAATGTATCACGTAAAAGGGTTTTACTGAACTGAAAGTGAATCTTGTTATGATAACTATAATTTTGCGTAAAACCGCCTAAAGAAAATGCATAGGTCGGTCTCTGCAGAAAACAGGGCCTGATTCCGGTTGCTCCGCAGTTATATGATTCTAATATGGCATTTAGGTTGACGCCATCCACAAGCGAAGAAGATTACCTCAGAAACAGCGGCAACATGAATGTTCCAGTAAACCTAAGCGAGAGCTGGTCAAGAGGAATCCACCATCGTCTTCTGGTGCACCGACCTTCGAATCTCTTCACCAATCGCTTTCCCTCAAGATGAAAGTAGGCTCAACATCAGACCAAGCTGCTGCAGTACAGTGGGAATCACCTGTCGTCTTTTAGTGAAATCAGCCTACGATTCTTTTCTTGATGCATTTCATACGAGATGAAAGTGTCCCCAACAATGTTCTATATGGAGATTCATCGAATGACGTTCTCATTAAATTTCAGAAGGTCTAGCTTTTCCAAAAGTTATTAACATCCAGAGTGGACTGCAGTTCCGACCTCGTCTAGGTCTTATCAACATCCCCAGCGGGACTCAAGCCTCGACACGTTAACCACTATGTCACAATGCCTCGAGTGCCCTTGGGTCATAGAACATATGTGAATTTCAAGGAAGTTCAGGCATTTTTTCTTATCACTTTCTGTGTTGGGATTGTCGATAAAGAAAATTTTTATTTGATATAGCAACCTACTACGTTACTTATATTTCGTTTATAGGTAGACCTTTGAGACTACCAGTAGATCGTATATATGAGATGTATTAATCATATTTCGCTTAGGTGAAATAGGACAATTACATCTCATATACAATTGTAGTTGTCTGAGTCTACATGAGGCCATGTTACATTGTTATACTTATTACCATACGTAATAAGTATAACATATAAAATGGTACAGATATATGTATATATCATATGTAATCTTGGTAAAGAACCTTTTGAAAGTCTCTACACAATATTCTGACCGTACATGCCTCAAATACAAACTGTGCAGAATCCAAAATCATGTAGACAAAAATATGCTTGCCTGAATCTCTCAAGATCCGTTTTGTTCGAGACTAAGAAGATGTGAGGTGAAGTTAGCGACGCTGACATCGGTTTCCAGGTGCCCGATGTCATCCCACGTCGCAATGAGCCCGTGCTGCCTGGTGACAGAAAGAGATTGTGCATCGTCAGGCCTGTCGAGGAATCACTCGAAAGAAATCCGGCTCCGCCTATGATTCCTCCTGAGGTTCCCTGCCCTGGGCTGCCGCCTCCACCGAAACTACCAGACCCACCTCCAAATCCCGACCAACCGGTATGCCCAAATCCCGAATGGCCTTGTGTTCCAGCCGGAGCACCACAACTTCGTTTAGGCCCGAGTAAGCTCTGCATCGTCTCAACCAGCTCCTGGGCCCGATAGAAGCTGCGTCGGCTGGTGATGGAGAAGAGCACGATGATGGCGTGCGACCAGTTGACAATGTCCTTCATGTTGATGTCGTCCTACGGGATTTGTATGCGTTTCAATACTTTGGTGTTTACATGCTTGTATATCTTATTGGATTGGAAACATTTAGAATGTAAAGGCATGCAAGTTTCTCTGTACCTTTGTATAAGAAAGCTATCACTTCGATCAGAAGTAAAACACCACTGTGAGAGCAGTTGTTTCGCTAAAACAACCCAGGTTATTAATCAAAGGAAGGCTGCCAAGCCTATCAGCTCAGTAAGGGTTCTAACTTCATTAACATTCGCCCAACACAATAGATTAAGCTTATCAGTTAAACCAGACATACAAGATCATGCAGTCTCAGTTATTCCCTTGGGTTGGCAAACCTTAACGACTCTAGATTGATGGGTTAGGACGGGTGGTTACAAATCCTGACTTATACACATACAAGCTTGCATCTCAGTCAGAATTACTTACTGATTTACGCAGTTTCAGTCAGGGTTTTCTCTCAGGTCATTAAGCCTTGACGACCAGAGCCTGAAATTAGGCTTTTTGATCACTGATTTAGGACCGGTATTGCATATAGGCGTTATCACACACACACTCGAGTAAAAATAGCAAGAGCAATATTGAAAATAATAGGCCAAATGATTCTATGGCTATTTATGCTTATACTTTTTCGTTTTTAATTATGAGTATTTATAAGACGTTAGATAAAGTCGGACAGTCTTCTTGACCTTGTATTAACTTTCGACTTTTACAAGAATGAGTTACATCTCTGGTTTCTATTATATGAAGGACGAAAGTTTAGCCCGCCTTTACCCGAGACGAAGGAGGTTGTCACGTGGACTGCTTTAACCTGGACTTCGTATTAGAGCCAAACAGCTGCAATATAACAGGAATCGGCCGTTATCTTCTGATGAGGTCAGAAAGTGAATCTCTTCATCATGCACTTAGATACAAAATGTATTTGGTTTGTAAGAGAGTCGTAATCCATAAAAAAATCTAGAAATAATACCAATAATTCGTTTTGTAATAGTAAAAATCGCGAAAATAAAACATAGACATACCATAATAGAAGTGGGTTGACCTTGTTGTCACAACTTGGTCTTGTTGTCAGGGCAACTTAGTAGAACTCATCTAGTCCGAAGTCGTCTGCCATAGTAGTTTTCATGATTACCAGCATCAGACAGTGGACTTAGTACATTTTCAAACGTTTTGCTGGTATCGTAGTCGGCATCATCAGTGAGTTTTGTCATTCTCCGCACCAAGCTACGAACTCGTCAAAGAGACAAGTGAAGTCAATCCCTCGAAAAATGAGTTCGTGGCTTAGTGCGGAGAATGGCAAAACTCACTGATGATGCCGGCAAAACGTTTGAGAATGTCTCAAGTCCAATATATGATGCTAGGAATCATGACAACTACTATGGCAGACGATTTCGGACTAGATGCGTTCTACTAAGTCTCCCTGACAAAAAGACCAAGATGCAACGAGGTCAACCCACTTCTATAAATCAAAAGGTGACTGCGACCATACCAGAGGCTACAGCGTCTTGGTCTTCATATATTCCATATCATAATAGTTCCAAAGTGATAGCCATCTTCATTTGTTGCCTGATATCTTTACTTTGAGTTGAGAAAAGTTAGTAAGGTTAATTTTTGTATTCCAGATAAGAACAGTCATGAAGGGAAAATGTGCAAAGATAAATTGGAATGATTAAATAATGGCTGATTTCAATTAGTTGATGCGCTATTACCGTTTACCATATTTATACTCATAAAACTTGATTGTGAGTAAATATATGATGCAACTATTCTGCTTGATGGTGCTTTTTAAATAAATACTTTAGTCTCTTTAGGTTCAAGGATTTTTAAAAATGTTAAAACTAGCACTGAAAATAATTAACTTTGTTAATTGCGATGACAGATACATGTTTGCCTCATCTACAAGCTCACAATCAATGCGATAGGGAAGAGGCCTGATTTGCAATTATTCACAATTGCCCTATAAGAATCTGGTAGTACTGGTTATGCGGTTTAGTGATAACATGCAACAACTTTATGCGTTAGCGATGCTGATCAGAACCAGGCGTGGTTGAACCGGTGGCTTCACTGCTTCTGAATGTCCCTTAGACTTGCCCCTCAAATGATATTATCATGCGGGCTAGACTGCAGTCTAGACCTTAGCTGAGTTTCACTATCGCATTAAACAGGGATCGAACCTGAGTAATACGGTGTTTATTTTAGACATTCTATCACTATTGGTTCGACCTAGTTTTCGCAACTTGGTCTGAGCGTCAGAGAAACCTTATGGAGTCTACCTAGCCCCGTGTTATCTTCCATAGTATTCGTGATTCTCAGCATTGGCTGGATACTTTCCCAAACGTTTCGCCGGCATCGTAGTCGGGATCTTCAGTGAGAGACGCCACTGTAAGCACAGAATTAGACCTTATCAAAGTGACAAGACTCTCACTGACGATGTCGGCGTTTGGGTATGTACCCAGTCAATGGTCCAATGCTGGAAATCACGAATGCTAGGGCAGAGAACACTGGACTAGGCACGTTCCACAAGGTCTCCCTGACGCTCCGACCAAGTTGCTTAAACAAAGTCGAACTAACAATATAAAGCTAAAGGAGACTGTGACCAAACAGAAGGCCACTCCATCTTGGTCTTCATATTTACGATTCTATCATTGAGCTACACAGCCAAAGGTGCCACTGGGTCACACACCCGCATCGAAAATAGTAATATTTGCCATCAGGAAGCTATACCTACATTTTTACATTATGGATAACTGGAAGTATTTTCGAACTAAGGGCGTAGCAAAGTGATGTTGAAACTAGCAGAGCGGTCTGCGCAATGAGTCAATGACTGTTTCGTATTCTGATCCAGAAGAGGCCAGAGTATAAACGCACTTATCAATCGTTTTATTCGGCCTTAAATAAGGCTACGGTATAATGTGAAATTATATCTACACTTGAGAAAATATGCGACCACTATAGATTATCTCCAAACCGGTTTCTCAACCTTAAATGCAAGATTCATCAAGCCTTGATGGGATGATGCTCCCAACATAAAATGGAACTTGGATTGCAGAATGCATCCTCCCTTTACTCTTTAATGCTTCTGAAACGTTGACTGTCTCGCGCTAAAATAAAACCGATCGACTATAATTATAACTTAACAGACTAATTGAATATATGAAGACCAAGATGTTGTGGCCTCTGTTATGGCCGCAGTCTCCTTTCGATTTATAGAAGTGGGTTGACCTCATTGTCGCAAATTGGTCTTGTGGTCAGGGCCAATATGTAGAACGCACCTAGTCCGAAGTCGTCTGCCAGACTAGTTGTCATGATTCCCAGCATTTGACAGTGGACTTATCTACGACACGGATCTACGAGACAATGAAAGGATCCGGATTGGAGGCCCGAGTGAGATAAGCCCATCGAAAAAGAGGGTTCGGGGTAAATAGCAAGTGTGATGAGGCCACACCGGTTTGCCACAAAAGGGCACACATTTTGATGATTGGAATGTAAACAAGTGAGAAGTTGTGATAGGGTGGCAATGGGATAAGAGGGTAAAGAGTAGAGAGTAGAGTAAAGAGCCTATCGGCCAGGACAGAAAGAGGAGTGATAGTGCAACCGTTTCCAGCACAACGGTTGTCTAGGCATTGACTTCACTTGTCTCTTTGACGAGTTCGTATCTTGACGCGGAGAATGGCAAGGCTCACTGAAGATGCCGACTACGATGTCGGCGAAACATTTGAAAATGTATCAAGTCCACTGTCAAATGTTGGGAATCAAGACAACTACTATGGCAGACGACTTCGGACGACTACATAGTCTCCCTGAACACAAGACCAAATTGCGACGAGGTCAACCCACTTCTTAACAGATTAATGTTCATAACTTTGCGTGTATGCCTGTGGAGGGGAGAGGCCAGGCATATTTGAAAGATGTACATGACGATGTAATGGTAATATGTAAGCAGCTTGTACAAAAGAGATTGAAAGGAACAGTGACTAATGTGTGCTTCTTAGTATAGCCACGTGAGAAAGGCCCAATGGTCAGACGCTATGGGTAGTTGATTCAACGTTGGCCCAGACAAATAAAATTGATGCATTATGTATGCTGACTTATCATCACTGTCGTTGGAGGACTATCCCTACTTATAACTGAAAGATAAGTAACATAGTTGATTACTACAGCAAATGCAACTTATCTTCATCGACAATTCCAACACAAAATGTGATAAGGGAAAATGTTTGGCCTTCCGTAAAATTCACATCCCCCCTGTGACCCAAGGGTACTCGTGGCATTGTGACGTAGTGGCTAACGTGATGAGAGCATACTCTGCAGTGTTATGTTCCAAGTCCTGCTGAGGATGTTGATAAGGCCTAGGCGAGGTCGAAACTTCAGTCCAGTCTGGATGTGAATATCTTTTGGGAGAGCTAGGCTATGTGAAATTTAATGGAAACGTTATGCCTACTCATATCTTGCGGGAAAATTCAGCTATCCGTCATATAATCACCCTAAATGTAAAAGAAAAAATATATCTCGTATGTTGAAGGAATTTGTTTCTATTTTCGACAAAGTTCTGCCGTTGTCCTTCCTACGCTAAGGCCCACGATGTAGATACGGATAAAGGTAAGAGTCGTAAATTATCGGAGTTCCATAAACTTAAAATGACTCAAGGGAGAGGCTGGTTCAGTTGTGGATACAATGCTGTCAGGGTGGGAGGCTCCAGTTTGTTGTATAGACAAGTGTAGTGATTTTTCATAAGCGAAACAATGAGGCAGATAATTGATATAAAGGCCTTTTTCTTGTCCTTTGCCATAATAATCATGATAATTTCCAGCTTCGAATCGTGAAATTGGTACATTCCTAGGCGCTTTGCCGGAATTGTAGTCGACATCATCAGTAAGCCTTGCCACACACCGCGTCAAGCTGCAGCTCGTCAAGGAGACTGACGATGCCGACTATGATGCCTACAGTATCCGACGCTGGTAATTATCATTATCAATATGGCAAACAACTCTGAACC